ATATATATTTTTTTTTTTAATTAACCAGCCAGCTGTTGAGTAACTCTGAAGTTTGCTTGCATTTGGCAAGTGTTAATTTTAGACCCTGCATGTCCAAAATATGTAATAATGTGATCCCAATTATATTTTATGGGGTGCACTTACTTTTTCACAGCACTGAAGGTCTAAATTCTGTTTAAATTCCAGCTCCAGGTTAACCCGAAGTACTTGGTGCATGAGTCAGACTACACAAACAATGTAGTCAGGTGCAATATCCACTACACGGGCCGCTTTGTCAAGACAACAAACTGCAAAATCTCCCAGTAAGTACACATTGCTTTTTGACTGTGTTAATGGATGAGTAGCTCCATAATGTGTGGCATATATTCATATACACGCTTTAAAATAAAGTTTCCAAAAGGAGTTTTCACTCCAGTGCCATAGAAGAACCATTTTGGGTTCTTAATGATCAGCTCTTAAAAGGACCATGTTTTTCTTAGTGCTGTAATATCTAAAGAACCTTTTTCCACTATAAAGAACCTTTTGGTCAATGGAAAGGTTCTTCATGGAACCATCAATGCCAATAAAGAGCCTTTCATTTTCCACATCTATGAAACTCAACAGAGCAAATGACTGTTTCTTCTGCTCCTATAGGTCATGATCTGTCAGATCCGGATGAATCTCCATGGAAGCACTGGTCCATTGCAATGTGAATGGAATTCCTGGTTCTGTTGTGATTGTTTATTGCATTTGTCCCGTTCCCGTATTTGTGCCGTTCTTGTGAAGCTGGGAGGAACGAGCACACATAATATCATGCAAAACCAAACACACACTGAGGAATCCCATACTTCACACACACCACAGACCATTGTCTATTTTCCTTCCAGCCACCCCATTAACCCTGGTTTTTCATTAAAACACACACTCGCTGCCCCCAATTAAGTCTAATTCCTTCACCATTTTTAAGTGGGTTACATCGCTGGAATGCAAAGTGAGATCAGGCATGGCACTGTTGAACTGTAATTCTGTCATTCAGATCAGGAAAATCAGCAACTGGAAACAATCCTCCTTTTTTCCAAGCCTCTCTCTTTGTCTGTGCCACTTTAGCGAAGGTGCAATACTGAAGAAAGAGTCGTATGAGAGAACGGCCTGCCAGTCAGTCATCCTCCAGCTAACCAATTAAGTAAAAAGTGGTTTTAGTTTGAATGAGGGACCTGGAAGAAAAAAATCGCTTTGGGATTAAAGCACTTTGAATAAATGCCTTGAATCCAAAAGCTGGAGGCAGTTTATCAAGGTGTTTTACCTTGGAGGTTTATTATATTCTTTTACTTAACCTGCTGTGATTTACATTAAATTGGATTGTAATGTTGCCTTGTATGTCAGTCCACTGATAATGCAATAAAGCAAACTACTTAAATTCAGGCCATACTTCAGATGTTCCCCTACAAGCAGCTGAAGCTCTATCCGTTTGGTTTTCTGTGATTAAATGAATAGTTCAGGTTCAATACAAGAATTAACAGACAGAATGTGTGGCATAATGTTGATTACCACCACAAATAATTTACAAGTAATTACACTGAACCACTTGCAATGAAAGTAAATGGGGCAAATATTTGGATGATTTGAAACCTTATGCATTTGTAAAAGCACTTACATTAATTCTTCTGTTAAAAATTGTGCATCATTTGAGCTGTGATTTTAGCATTGTCATGGCAATGAAATTGTAAAATTGGATGTAACTTTACGCAGAAAAAAACCATGCATATTATGTACATCTTGTGGCTTTACTATTGAAAGTGCTTCCATTGTAAGTGATTTAAAATTGTAATGCTTTTTAAAGAAAAAGTTTTTTTTTTATCAACAATAATTATGCATTTACTGCATTGCATTCAAGATTCAAGGCATGCACTTTATCAGTTCATGCATTCGCTGGGAATTGAACCCATGACATTGCTGTTGATCTACATTTACATTTGCATTTGACAGACGCTTTTATGCAAAGTGATTTACAATGCATTCAGGATATGAATTTTATCATGTTTTGACATTAACATTTATGCATTTGGCAAACGCTTGCATCCAAAGTGACTTACATTGCATTTAAGGTATGCATTTTAAAAGTCAACACATTCCCTGGGAACTGAAACCATGACCCTGCTGCTGATAGTGCCATGATCTACATTTACATTTATGCATTTACCTTTTATCCAAAAAAGACTTGCTTTGCATTCAAGGCATGCATTGTATTAGCATTCCCTGGGAATCAAACCTATGACCTTGCTATTGCTAACTGTATGATCTACATTTACATTTATGCATTTGGCAAATGCTTTCAAGCAAAATGAATTACACTGCATTCAAGACATGCATTTTTTTCAATCAGTGCATTCCCTGAGAATTGAACCCATGACCTTGCTGTTACTAACTGCATGAGATACATTTACATTTATGCATTTACCAGACAGTTTTATCAAAAAAAAAAAAAAAGAATTGCATTGCATTCAAAGAATGCATTTTGTCAGTTCATCCATTCCCTGGGAATTCTAATGCCATGATCTGTTATGTAAGCTGCAGAAACATTATGTCACAAGTGCTGTCGTATTGAAGCCAGGAATATTCCTCGAGTGTTAAGCTTGTCAACCGTCCTTTGTGAGATTTACTTGTACTGACGCCCATGTTGGAATGTATCTATTGTTTCATTAATTGCCAACACTGGTCAGCTGCCACAGGTCGCCATATATGATACAATTAACCCACTGATGCATGCCATTATCTAGGTAAGAAATGAATTTATTTTATCATATCATATTCATACCCACTGTTCTCATGTACTGTGTGGAGGGAAATGCTGTACTTGCTGTGTTACACTCCAGGAATTCATATTTCTTTGTATCTGAAATTGAGATTTATGCCTTGAACATTAAATCGAACACAGACTTAGTTGATACTACTGTTGCAAAGCTAACATTGCATAACCTGATGTTACTGACAATCTTAATTCAATCCGTACCTACCTCGGAAAGAGAAAGTTAAACATATGCAGTGAAAAAGAGCTCCTTATGAGGCTACGCTTGAAGAGCTCTAAACGACAAACATCCTACACATATGCTATAATCTAATAAATTCAGTTAAATGCATACAAAACAAGCTTTCTGTGAGGGTCGTCGGATGTGTGTGAATGGAGCGTGTGTTGTGATGCATCACACGCTTTTCAACCAAAGCTAAATGAATTCCTTTCTGTGGTGAGCAGTTCTTTTATTATGAAAACATGTTACAGTGTTTTCCATTATCAAGATCCAGATCAAATGCAGAACAGACTTGTCTTATCGTATCTCTTTATACTCTGCATAAATGAATATTATAACATTGTTTATAGTGTAGACAGTAAATTTGTGTCTGGTTGCTATCTGCTTTTGTGTATATCAATCTCTTTGAGTTGTTGTTATCATTGTTGTGGTTGTCGGTTTTATTTTTTGTGCTCTGAATCATCTTAGAGTTCATACTGGATCTTTAAATAAAGACTGAAGTGTATACCAGCTTTTTTAGTGCAAGTGCAGTTTCATTTTTTGACTTCAGACAATCCAAATTCAATTGAAGTGCTTGGAAAATACAGTTCTGCTACACACTCATGAAACCGCTAAAGTGGCAGAGTTTTAGGGAAAGTTTCCCATCTGCCGCCTGTGTTTGCACAGAACATGTACTGTACTGAATGCCAGCAGTTTTGTTGTAGCGAAACAACATTTTGATTAAGAATTAGGCCAGTAATAAGAACTCTGGAACCACAGAAGTAGAGCAAAAATTGACATCACATTTTTACACAACAATCTACACTTAAAGGCATCACAGTTAAATATTTAAAGTGCAGGTAAACGGGAAAGAATGCCTCTTCTTCCCCAAAACACACACGCGCAAGCTTGAACAGACGACTACAAAGGGTAGCTTGGCTTTGGCACAAGATTTTTCCATTATAAATTGATAATACATTTTTGTTTTGTATCAGCCTGCTTTGATATGTAATATTAAAACTAATAAACATGTCATTTCTGAAAAAGACAGTGATGCCAAAGGTTACAAGAGGGACAAACCAGAACACAATGAGCCTTTGTTAGAATGCTATGAGATGCTGGCTAAGCAACAAAAGGTTTGTATTATTATTCTTATTTTTTATTTTTTTTGTCACCAGCTGATGCCCTAGATTGCGTATATAAATATGAATGAATCCATGCATGCATGAATAAATAAATCCATGCATGCATTTTAGTTTTTGTTTGTTTTTCAGATCAATGGCTTCTTTAGCATAAACAATGCTTTTAATAATGATTACATTTTGAGAGACCACTGGTGTGAAAAACAGTTTTAGTGAGTGTGAACTGTGCAGTTTATAGACTACATGCTTGTGTGTTTTCAGTGAGAAAATGTCGCCAAATAAGATGGAGTCAGAGACCTATTAGTGAATTCCACTAACATGACATCAGATTAAAAACACAACGAGGAGCCATTTTCAGCAGAGCGCCAAGTAATACGTGCGCTTCGGTTTTAGAGTAAACACGTGAGCGTGCGCGAGCTGATTTGCTTCACTGAGAGAACAGTCGTGAGGTCTGCAAGCCCTCAATGAGAAGAGAGCAAAGATGACAGTGAACAGAAGAGAAGAGAGAGAGAATATAAATGCCAGACCAGAAGATTAGAAAGGCGAATATGAATCATAACTGGCTGCTCTTTTTGGCATTACCTGATTCTCAGACTGATCTAGTCTGGTGGTTTTAGAGAGGTTTTAACCTTATCACCAGTTCAGGGTTGAAGACCAGTTTGCTGAGCAGCTTGACCAAACCTTGGAAAACCAGACAGAGCTTCTGAAAACCAGTTTAGGCTAGCAAGATGGTCTTTTTGGTAAGAATGGAAAACAATGGAAAATACATGATGGAGTCAAATGCTCGAGTGATGCAACAACATGTAACAGTTCTTCAATGAAGTCATTCGCGTTATGAAGCTCGTTATGACTCATTCAGAAACAAAGAAAGCCTCTGCAATAAAGTCACCAAGGTATAACTGCATTTTAGCCTTGATGAGCTTTTTTAACATGAGTTTAGTAAATATTCAGTCACCTACACTGACCAGCTCATAATGTATAGGCTATGCAACATGCATTATTGTATGGTATCAAATTGAGAAAATAGTCATATTCAAGCATTTAGATTCTTAGTTGTTGATCACATTATTTTATCACATCTTTCAATTTAGTTCGGATCAACGGAGTTGTTTTCGTCGGAACGTTCCCAGAATTTTAGCTTTGAGGTTGTTATGAACAACGTTCTTCCAGTAATGTTTATAGAACGTTTATTCAAAGTTATCTGGCCTTTAATAATATTAAAACGTTAGCACAAAAACATTATTTACGCATCGTTCATGGAACATTTTGGTTGGTCGTTTAATGCCTAATGTTTTAAAATGTGGCTACTTGTTTCAAAACATCCAAATACTGAATACTGAATCTGTTTTGGTTTTGTTTGTGAGAGAGATTAAATGAATGCATATTAATTTTTATTTTAGAGCTACAGTAACATCTTCTGATTTCTCTCAACATGGGGACACCAGAGCTGTCAATCAATAAATTGAAAAAAAAAGTAACTTGCGTTACTTATTTGAAAAAGTAACTAAGATATTCTCTTGTAAATTAAAAAGTAATTTGTTACTTTACTAGTTACTTGAAAAAAAGTAATCTGATTACGTAACTTGCGTTACTTGTAATGCGTTACCAACAACACTGCACGTAAAAACGTAGCTAGTGAAGTCACATGGTTTATGTACAAATCCAATGGAGCATTTGATCTGCTGTTCAATATTCATCGAGCATGACTTGTGACGATAAAGTAAGTAGAAAACATAACAGCAGGCTGTCGACCTGAGATGTTTGTGTAGTGAGCAAACACGGGTGGTCTGGATGCCGCTGTGATTTATCTCCATGCAGACTAGTGCCGTTCTCCACCATTAAATCAAATGATTAACAACTCGGACTCAGTAGGAGATTATCTTGAACCGTTCAGATGTGAAGAGGGAGACCGAGCGCCGTGGTAAATAATTCAGCTATCACTTACGGTGAAAAACAAAAGCGTGAAGATCTTTCACTTCATCCTTCACTTCAGAGCAGCTGGTTTACTTTAATAATGAAGGCCTGTTGCAAACCGAGGCCGTTCGCCTGAGCTAATGAACTCCTCATCATCTCTATTTATGTGTGCCATTAGGTTTGAAGGTCTTGGAAGAAAGAAGGTGAGTTGTCTTGGCAGTCTGGCTCATGGCAGTAAACACCGGGAGTCCCTTATTCCATCCTCAGTGAAGATGGCCTGCTTTCCACCCCTTTAATTCTGTTACTCGCAAATGGGCCGTTCCTGAGACAACAGGGGAGCAATGGGGGAATAAATTCTCATTACAGAGGTGCTGCTAACAGAGGGCAAAACTTTCGCAGGGATACGCTTGTTTATAGACTTTCAGCCAATTGGAACAAATGACTGGAAACGGCTCTGGAGTTGCTTATTTTACTGGTTCTTCTCAGTCCTGATGAGGCTTTAAATCCACAGATGCTGATGTGGTGCAAGGGTTTAACACATTGACAACTTTGGGACACGGTGGCTCAAGAGAGCTGATCCAAATCTCACGGGATCTTCACCACGCATGAGGCCTTTGGGCTTTAATTCAACTGTTAAAGCAGGAGACTGTTCAGTTCGAACTATGCAGCATTGACAGTTATCAAACTGAACTGAATTGAGCTGAATAATGACACCATTGTCCTCTGTAGAGCTGCTTTACATCTGAAATCTACCTATCTATCTATCTATCTATCTATCTATCTATCTATCTATCTATCTATCTATCTATCTATCTATCTATCTATCTATCTATCTATCTATCATATATCATCTCACAGCATTGGGATCTCTGAGACCCAGACATAAAGAAAGTTAATCTCGACATGATGGTCAAGAGAACTGCGATGTTTAATAGCACATCATGTTGTGAAATAGTGCATTGCAGTGCATCAGTAGCTTACAGGCATGATTATAATTCATAAACAATGAGTCCCATCATTAAATAAAAGTGGAGAAGAAGAAGTCTAAAAAGCAGCCAGAGGCGTCATTTAAAAGTTTAAATAAAGTTTGGATTACATTATCTGTTTGCCATTGTTTGCAGGGACGTGATTGATGCTGTACACAAGTAGACAACAAGAGACAAACAACAGCTGATGTAACGCAAGATTACGAAGGACAAACTGATTGTTTGTCCTCAAAACATGGATCTACCAGATGCTTTTATTTAATGACTTTCAACACTGCACACCATGTACACGTGCACACACACACACACACAGAGACACACACACACACACACACACACACACACACACACACACAGACACACACACACACACACACACAGGTTTACATTTGTGAAAAGTGGGGACATCCCATAGGCGTAATGGTTTTTATACTGTACAGACCATATATTCTATTGCCCTACACCAACCCTACACACTTGGTTTAAATTTTGTATAATGCTATGAGTTTTTAGGACTGGATTAATAGTTCATATTCTTTTTTGGGCCTCTGCATATATTCATGTGCAAATAAAGCAGTTCATGACCCAGACTTTGCAAAGCAACATTTCTTAGATTCACCTTATTATATCTCAAAACATGTAAGAAGCTCCTCAGATGTTTGTCTTTTAAAGCAGCACTGTGATTGTGAAGATCAAGAGCGTGTTGATCATAAAGTGAAGGAGAATTCCATAAAAGAGAAAGAAGGAGAAAGAGGACATTAGACATCATAACATAGAAATTCCTACACTGTCTGTGTGTGCGAAGTGTGTGTGTGTGTGTGTGTGTGTGTGTGTGTGTGTGTGTGTGTGTGTGTGTGTGTGTGTGTGTGTGTGTGTGTGTGGATGAAGCTCTCTCACCCTTGAGCTGGAGGACATAAAGCAGCTCTGTTCGCTGGACTCTGGGCTGGAGAACTGACTTCTTCTGTGTTCCCCTTCAAATACACTTTATTCCTCTTCTCCCTCCTTTATCCGACCTCTCTGCACCCCCATCACAACCTAAAACCATATTTAATGTGCTTGAATTCCCCGTCATGTTCCTCCTGATAGTGTTTATCACACTATTGGTAAGGTTCAGGCCACTGGGCCGGCCCAGAATGAAATCCTGTTCTTTTGAGTAGTGGCTGTTGATTTTGGGGTGGTACTGCAGCATTCTGGAAGAGCCAGCTGTCGTCTCACACTTGCCATGGAGATCCGAATACCAAAACAGACAGATGAAGTCATGTCCCAGCCACCATTACTTTATCATGCCTTCAGGCCCAGGCCAAGAATACTACACCGAATATCTAACGGACTTTCTCAAGGGACAAAGAACCCTGCTGATGAACTATATGAGTTGTGTATTTTACAACATTTGTATTATTATTATTATTTTTTCCAGTGAAATATTATACCCTGTGCTGCACCATGTCCTGTAATGAATAATATCTATAAACCCTTGTGCTTGTTAATT